TCCAGGGAACCCGGATTTCAGCATCTCTGGGACCTGGATCTCAGGTGTGTGGGTCAGGGCTAGAGAAAGGAAAGAGGCTGAACTGAGACTCTGATGGGCATATGTGGGCAGGATCCTCCCAACATCCTGCCATAGCTCCCATGTCCTTGGACAAAGAGGAAAGACTACTTCAGCCTTTACCTTACCTGTCACACTCAAGAACAGATTCTGTCCCTTGTAACTGTGTTTCACGTTGTCACCTCTCTCCACTCGAAAGAAATATGACCCAGCATCCTCCTTCTTTGCATCTGTGATGCTCAAAGAGCAGTTGTAGGCCTTAGGGTCCCCTATGAGCTGGAATCGGCCCTTGGTCCTCTCCTGCACTGCTTCATTGGGCTTGTTTGTAGCTACTGGAGCATCCTTTCCAGTAAGAGCATCATGGTGGTACCAGTAGCCATAAGCTGGGTGAGATTGTGTCTGGGAATTCCAAGGGTAGAAAACAGTGCAGGGCACAAAGGCACACAACCCTTCCTGTACTGTCACAGACTGTTGCATTTTGATTCCATATCTTGAATCTTCAGCCAAAGACTCTGAAGAGAAAAAGTGATTGAGAAAATGCCCCCCATTCCCACCCTGGATCCCTCTGGCTCCTGCTTCTCTCCTACCTTGCCACAGCCTGGAGAGTAGCAGCAGCAGAAGCAAACACAGCATCTCCGGTGCCATGAGTAACACTATAGGAAGGGTAGGCTGAGAATATAAGGGTGACTCCAGGAGGAAGTCAGTGGGTGTGGACATTACAGTAATTGTGCACATAAATGCAGTTTCACACCCAAAACTGCCACAGCTGGGGAGTTCATGGAGCTCTGTCTTCAAAATTCCCCTACTCTGCAATATTCAGTGAGGCCTCAAAACAGCAAAGAGGCCCCAAGTCATGCTGGAGTGTGCACCTTTCTTATTTAGAAGGATTTATGACAAATTGGAATTATATCTGCCTTCCACATTGAACAGAATTTGTTAGTGAATTTTTCTCCTGGAAAAGGTTTACAATGAAATGTATTTCTTTATTGTTACACGACCCTTTGGGTTTTACATTTTTTTGAAGACAATTCTTATATCTTTATATATCTAAATTTTAAAATTAAGTAATACTTTTAAAATTAAGCAATGTCCTCTTATATTGTTAGAAAATATATAAATAATGAAGTAAAACATACATAGACAAAAGTGTTCCAATTTTAAGGATATGCTTAGTTATCTTTGTAAAAAGAATAAATTCCTGTTAAAACCAGTGAAGTGAAGAAGTTCACAGGCGTGCAGGTTTAGTTTGGCAATAGACATGTCATCTGCATGCATAAATGCATGTGCTTGGTTTCATGTCCAGCACAATGAAAAAATAAAAAACCCACAAGCATCCCTTCCTAGTTTCTACTCCCACTCAGTGTAGCACTATGTTGACTTTTGTTATCACTGATTAACTTTGTTTCTTCCTTTGATGTAATTTCAAACATTCAGCATGTGCTTTCTGTGTCTGGCTTCTTGTATTCAATCTATTTATCTATTTGTGTTTGTGTTTGTGTGTGTGCGTGTGTGTGTGTGTTCTCACTGTTGTGTCCTATATCAAAGATTTATTTTCTCCACTGAAGGAATTTCACTATGTTCATGTATCATATACCATGCAATCCTTCTAATTGGAGAGACATTTGAGATACATCTAATTTGAGAATTTATGGAGAGTGCTGGTATGAATATCTCTCAGTATGTCTATGCAGTTTTCTTGGAAACTTTGCTGTTTAGGTTTTAATAATTATCACTGTGTATCATATTTCATATTCTGTGGAGCCGAGGATTGAACACAAGGCATCCTCCATGCCAGGGAAGAACTCTCCTGCTAAGCCACTTCCTGGCCCTGTTGGGCATACTGTAATTCCCAATAACCTTAACTCAAAACAGTATTATGGAAGTTGTTGAACAGTATTATGGAAGTTGTTGTTAAGCCTTCAGTGTAGAGCCAATGAAATCTGAGACTTCTCTGTAGCACTTTTGTGGATATTGACTACATATTGGAGGGTAGCTGTGAAAACTCTCAAGGTTATCTCAGCCATTTTTTTCCCATAGTTATTCTGGAGGACAGATAAGTATTCAGAATTGAGAAAGTTTTCAGCTGCACCCAAAAACCTTCAATTTCCTTTATACTTGATCCTATTATTGAGTCTCTGATTTAGACATTGCCAGTGAAATTTTAGCTCCTTTTATTTAAATGTCACCTGCTCATTTAATACACTAAGTGGTCATGGCTGGTATCAAGCTCAGTAACAGCATGATCTGACCAGGCAATGGGTTACAAACCAGTGCACCATGAACAGGTGTGTGTATGTGTGTATATGTGATAGCATCCCAGTGTGTGTATATGTGATAGCATCCCAGTTATTCCCTAACTTTAGAAAGCAGAAAATGGGACATAGACCGGGCTAGTGCCTTTCTAGTTTTTAATGTGTTAGTGTAGAAATCAGTATTGAATTATTTCTCCTATTCTAAACTCTCTACCTTTTCCTTACACAGAATTTTTTTGTAGTAATTTATAATTCAATAATTACGATTATTTACCCTATATGAACCAGTGTTTGAAGGATCCCTTCCCCTAGAGGTGACCCAGGCTCATCCCAAGAACAGGGCAGGGTCCCTCAGAGAGCCCTCACTGCAGTCTGTTTGTCTTCGGGATACTTCAGGCTGATGTTACTGTCCTGCAAGGCCCCCATCCCTCATCTGTGATAGTAAAAAGAATTCAAGTAGAACTCCTGAATTGATTGTGGTTTGATCCCAAAGTTTTGTGGACAGAAATCTAAATGTGTGGGAACAAAGACTTCTCTTGTCTGACCTCACTCTTCCACTTGGAGAGCTTGGCAATCCAGCTCTGCATCAGGTCAGTAGACAGCACACTCCTAGCAGCCCTAGAGAGGAAAGAACTTTTCTTTCTTGTGCAATTTTCACGAAAGTCAATGATGTCATGGGGAAACCAGGCTCTGGGACAGACAAATAATAGTTTCTGCTTCAGAAGAATTCATAGGATGGATGATAGACTTACCACTCCTGCTTTCTACAGCAACTAGATAGCAAATATGGAGAGATCGGGATTCCCTCTGGTCTTTCCTCACTTAGTCCACAGGAATCAAGCATTAACATGGAGTACAACACTGGGTCCCACAAACACATCCTTTACCTCTCTATTGTAAAATTTTACTTTAGCAGAATAGTAGCCATCTATGCATCTGAGTAATTTTCCCTAAGGGACAAAGGAAGGAATCTTTGTGTTTACCCACTTGGTATGAGAAAAGGCAAGGTGTATACACATGTGGAAAAATGTCAAACCAGGATTTATAAGCACATGATGCTCCATCTAACAGGTTTTGTGTATGTTTACCTGAGCACCACAAAGGATATAATATACCCACACCACACCAGGATTTGTTTTTAAAGACATTTTCTTTTCACTTTTCTGGTAGAAGTAGCTCAAGTTAGTACAATGGCACACGAATAATGAGATCTGCAAGCCCTGGAGGAGTAAAAACTGGATCATCAGATTACTCATGCATAGATGATAAACATGATCGATTATGGTAAAATACATATGTGGGGAGAGGTTGAAGCTGGAGATTGATCTCACATTCAGGGCTACAGCAAGGACAGTCCTGAGAACAAGGAGTGCCCAAGGTGAGCCACATGAGCGAGCTCCTCCAGTCCAGAGGATACCATGCACCCCAAGCAACTGAAGAAAACAGGTTGCTAGGAAGAGGGGTGTCACGTGACATCAACCTGATGAATGTATAAATAAATATGCTGTGGTATTTGAGTATTTTCTTTTCCTGCCATCCGGACAGAGGGCTCCACCTGATCCCAGTTTTCTGTATCTTGTCTTCATTTCTTCACCTTCTCACCATCCTTCATGGCCCTCACCCCACAAAGTTCAAGAGCAGCACTGACTGTGGCAGAATGGCACCTTAACAGGGACTCAGGGCATGAGGAAATTTGTCCTCTAGCAGGTGAGAAGGACACCTCTAATGCGCACACAAAAGGAAGAGAGGCATATCAATATCCTCAGTATTCAGCCCATTGATATCATCAATATTGAGCCCAAAGTGTATTGATATCCTTGATGTTAAGCCCAATAATATTATCAATACTAAGCCCATATGTATCAGGTGTTAAACATGGAGCAAACAGGTTCTCAAGAAACACAAATGTATATATGAATGCTCATTGTATTCTTGATTCTTGTATTTACTTCCTTTTTCTGGATTTGAATTATGGAATGTCTTAATGGTCATATGCTTGTTGAGATGACCACAGAGGATTTGGCTCAGAGCACTAATTTAAAATCAAGTCCAGGGCTGGGGATTTAGCTCAGCGGCAAAAGCGCCTGCCTAGCAAGCGCAAGGTCGTGAGTTCGGTTCCCGGTACCGGAGAAAAACCAAAAAAAAAAATAAATAAATAAAATAAA